AGGAAGACCAAAGGGGATAGAGGTTAAGGTAGGTTGCGGGTGGTTGGGGGAGGGGGTGGGGAGAGATCAATGTGAATCTTAGCCGATCAGTTTCACAAACCACGAGCCGCCAATTTAGTCTAAGACGGCCAGTCTTCATGCAGCTTCTTTCTTGGCAACCCACCTCCTAAATGATGTAAATATGTCGACGGGGGCCTTAAAGACCCTTTTAGCTAACTAAAAACGATATCTATTCGTTAATGACTAAAAACGTACAGTGAAATGCTGTTTCAGATATTTCTATTTGTAAGCTAAAGAATAGTTCGTGGGGCAGATACGGGAGTATTGATTCACGAAACACATGCTTTTTTTCAAAGCTTACCACGTGGATCAGTTATTGTTTTGTTTCCATCTTAAAATATATGTTTTAAGACAATGGCTCTATTCAGTGTGGTGATACTGTCCCCTTAATAAATCTACGTATAATGAATACAGGTAAAATGGGCTTGTTTGCACAATGTTCAGATTTTTCCTTTGCTTGTTTTTTTTTATTAGTTTTTTTTTTTATTCATCAATATTATGTTTACCAGATTCTGCAATAAAATTTCTGATATGAGCATATTCACATTGATACCTGAACTTTCTTCTTATTTCTAAGGATTGTTTCACTGTATAATGTTATAATATTATGTTAAAGAGCACTGACGATATAAGGCAGCCTTTTCCAACTCCAGTTTTAATCTGCTGTCTGTCTTTCCATCTCTCTCAATTCGTATAGCAGGGCTTCGATCCCAGTACTGCAAACTTCTAATAGATCTAGTTCTTAGATCTTTCCATCCATGACAAGCTCTTTCAAATTTCTAAATGGCTCATTAGACGGTGTATAATCTTATCAAAAGCTTTTAAGCTTTCATAAAGTTATCTGTTCAAAAAGCCTCAGACACGAAGCAGATAATTATAGATAAACAGGTTTCGTTTTTACATCAAGGGCATCTCGGAGAAAGCTACCAATTCGGTTCTTCTTTTTTGAGCTGGCACAGTCTGACAGTGTCAGATTAATATAGTAGTAGCAATCAGGCGGACCGGCGGAGACGGTCAATTTCAGTCAGCTGTAGTGGGCAAGAGATTGACTGCTGGTAATAATTCTTATTCACCTTCAAATAAATCCAAATTAATATTTATCAACATTCATAAAGCAATTCCCCTTTAAAAAGATATGCTCAAAGAGACAATAAGGGCTCGTCGATGTGTTGTCGCACCACAGAAACTCGTTCCTAAATCTCAGTTTATCTCCCTGGCTCACAACGTTGTTGTTACCAGCTGCTGTCACGATGCGCGCCTTCGTATTGCGCGCTCAGTGATCAGTGGTGATGTCACTCTGCTCGGCGAAATGAGCAGTTGCCCCCAGAGCGGAAAGAGCCCGCATGAAGATCACCTATCTTGCCAATTTGGTTCTTCTGCTGCTTTCAAAGGACAAGACTGTCTTGAACAGTAGGCCTACATCTTATAATTCTATCAGTAATATTAATAAATTATCATTAAACACGTCTCTAATCACTATCAGTTAAAACGTACGTGTACTGTCATAATGGCTCTTATCTTTATCCCTAATCGAACTTTTGAGACACCCATGGTTCTGTTTGGTGCTCTGTTTACCCCTTACTTCTTGCCACAGCCTTACCTGGCCCCAAAAAGCACACCCGGCGAGTTGGTGGTTTGGCCAGTCTTTTTATATAACAGTCAGGAATTTTAACGGAGGTGAAAGTCAAAGGCTGACTTGCGAACGGCACTTAGCTGTCCGTTGGACAACACCGCCACTCTCCCTTCCCCTTTTGTCCTTTCTCCACCCCCCACCTCAGCTCTGTGTTCTAAAATTAGAATTTGACATAGTTTCTCTCTGAAATTGTTGTATGCTTGCTTTATTCAATGCGTATGCGTTAAGTGTATTGTAAACCTATTGTTTCGGATTCTGCTTCGACTTGGTCGGCTTCGGACAGCGTCAGTGGTGGGGTATCAACTTGATTCTATGTTTCTTCAAACTACTATAAATCAGCTCGTTAACATTATTATTTTGTACATAAGAATTTTCTGAGGAAGGGGACCATGTTTCCAAGGGTTCTACGTGTGTTTGTGTGTGTGTGTGTTTGTGTGTGTGTGTGTGTGTGTGTGTGTGTGTTTGTGTGTGTTTGTGTGTGTGTGTGTGTGTGTGTGTGTTTGTGTGTGTTTGTACGTGTGTGTGTGTATGTGTATGTGTGTTTGTGCGTATGTGTGTAGTTCAGTGGGGAAAAGGGAGGGGGGACAGGGGGAGC